AAAAATTACAGTAAACAAATTACATGAAGTATAAACGAGTATTTCAAATAAGAAGCATTGAAGTTGTACAAATTTGTAGCATAACTATGTATAATAATAATTGGATTGCGTTAATCTGTGTTATTAAGACAACTGTAATCACTCAAAACTTATTTAATTGTACAAGTTTGCCGATGACACCAAAATAGGCCGTCGAATTCATTCTGACGAGGACATTCGAGCACTCCAGGAAGATTTGAATAGACTGATGCAGTGGTCGGAGAAGTGGCAGATGCAGTTTAATATAGACAAATGCAAAGTTCTAAATGTTGGACAGGACAATAACCATGCCACATATAAACTAAATAATGTAGATCTTAATATTACGGATTGCGAAAAAGATTTAGGAGTTCTGGTTAGCAGTAATCTGAAACCAAGACAACAGTGCATAAGTGTTCGCAATAAAGCTAATAGAATCCTTGGCTTCATATCAAGAAGCATAAATAATAGGAGTCCTCAGGTTGTTCTTCAACTCTATACATCCTTGGTTAGGCCTCATTTAGATTATGCTGCACAGTTTTGGTCACCTTATTACAGAATGGATATAAATTCTCTGGAAAATGTACAAAGGAGGATGACAAAGTTGATCCCATGTATCAGAAACCTTCCCTATGAGGATAGACTAAGGGCCCTGAATCTGCACTCTCTAGAAAGACGTAGAATTAGGGGGGATATGATTGAGGTGTATAAATGGAAGACAGGAATAAATAAAGGGGATGTAAATAGTGTGCTGAAAATATCTAGCCTAGACAGGACTCGCAGCAATGGTTTTAAGTTGGAAAAATTCAGATTCAGGAAGGATATAGGAAAGTACTGGTTTGGTAATAGAGTTGTGGATGAGTGGAACAAACTCCCAAGTACCGTTATAGAGGCCAGAACGTTGTGTAGCTTTAAAAATAGGTTGGATAAATACATGAGTGGATGCGGGTGGGTGTGAGTTAGACCTGATAGCTTGTGCTACCAGGTCGGTTCCCTTGTTCCTCCCTTAAGTCAATGTGACCTGACCTGACTAGGTTGGGTGCATTGGCTTAAGCCGGTAGGAGACTTGGACTTGCCTCGCATGGGCCAGTAGGCCTTCTGCAGTGTTCCTTCGTTCTTATGTTCTTAAGTGTACCTAATTACCTATTAGTGTAATTATATAGTGTACCAGTAACTATGTGGTTTTCTTTCAAAACGATTTCACAGAAAATGATGTACCCTCGCATCACTGGGGACACTATGGAATAGCTAAAAATTTAAAAATTTCTGTAGATTATTAACCTTGAGATAAGATGTTCGGATTTTGAACCTGAAGTGTTATCCACCCAAAATAACCCAGTAAAGTCCGTGTGTCAATGGAAACTCTGAGTTATGACCCCAATGGAAATAAGTCACTTTGTCCGACTTTTTAGGGTTATCCTAGGTTCTCTACACATGTGCTGCTATGTAAGGTAAGATTTCGTTCTGATTTTTAACCCCACAGGGTTATCCACCTAGGATAACCCAAGAAAGGCAGTGCATCATCGAGGGCTGTCTTATTTCCACTGGGGTCCTCAATCTTGTCCCCCAAGATACGACCCACACCAGCAGACTAACACCCGGGTACCTACTTGCTGCTGGGTGAACAGGACAGCAGGTGTAAGGTAACGCGTCGAAATGTTTCTACCCCGCCAGGAATCGAACCCGGGCCCTCCGTGTGTGAAGCGAGAGCTTTGCCAGCCAGGCCATAGGGTCACCTATGATAATCTATATAACTGCATTTGTGCATACCTAAATAAACTTATCCCAGGATGCGGCCCACAACAGTCGACTAACACAGACGTACTTCTGTGTGAACATGGGCAACAAGTGCCTTGGAGAATTAACCAGTGAAAACAGTTGTGGTAAACTGAAGACATTTTAAATAGGGAAGACGTTAATTTTGCTACGTTTCTCCCGTATTGGGATTTTTTTGAAGAACTTGACAAACCTCTTCCTCTTCCCCCCTCCCCCCCCCCATGTCATTGTACTCAGTGTACGTCGGGTCCAAATTGTATTATGCAACACCAACATGGACCCCCACACCTGGTCAATCACATCAAGAAACTGGAAAAGGTGCAAAGGTATGCAACAAAACTGGACCCCGGAGATTAGGAATATATCCTTTGAGGAGAGGTTAAGGGACATTGGATGACAGGACTAGTGGTTATATGATAATGACGTACAAAATATTGAGAGGAATTGATAAGGTGAACATGTACAGAATGTTTGAGATGCTTTACAGGAACAAGAGGGCACAACTGGAAGTTGATAAGTTATAGGTATGTTAGGAAGTATTTCTTCAGTTTTAGAGTAGTCAGGAAATGGAACAATCTGGAGAGTGTACATATTAATTGAGACTGATGAAATAAGACATTTGGAAAATTAATGCTTATTTGAAAAATGCACAGCAATGATATGACAATTGATTTAACAAGAAATACGAATAACCGTTGCCTCTATAAGCAAGTTCGTCGTCGTGGTACCAGGTCATAATAACTGCCGCAAATACCTTCACAGTTGAACAGTCCTGTTTCACGATCCTCCGTTTGGTTATTGCCCATAGATTCATAATTGGGTAGAGGTCAGGATAGTTTCCAGGCCAATTTAGAAAGCTTAATTAACCCATTTTCCTTGAAGAGTTTCAGCATTTTTCTGGAAGTCTGGCATGGAGCAAGATCCTGCTGGAAAATGCTTTCTCCATCAGAAAAGTCTCTATCTACAATGGGAAGCAAATGCGTTAACAGGATTGCTTTGTATTTGTTACTGTTCTTCGTTCCTTCAACATTTACAAGCCGTCAAGGGCATTAAGCAGTAAAACTACCCCAAAACATCTTTTTAGGTTGGTGTTTTGCTCCGTCTCTGCCACTGATCTGTACCCACGTAATTCACAATGCGCCTATGAAAATATTAACTCTTCTCACATTCATCTGTCGTCCATCCCTTAAAATCGAGTGCTCTCCGCAGCCAGTTTTTCTTCATAGCAGCAGTCAATAATTGTTTCTTTACCGACTGTTTGGTAGTTCTGCCAGCTTCAAGGAGCCATCGTCGAACAGTTGAAAGAATCAACATTTACGCCAGCTGAAGCCAAATCTCTCTGTAGATCTTTGCTGGCTTTCTTGGGATTCTTCACACTATTTCTTATGAAAACCTTGTCTTCGTGAGATATTGTCTTGCGTTTTCTTGCACATCTTCCTCGACGTAGTGTTCCACAATCATCAATGTCGTCAGCTCTCTTCATTTACGGCGATACGTGATACTCAAATCAGCATATTTTCTAAGGGTTACAATACTTGCATGCTTTCTAGGTGCAACATCCATCACGAATTTCAGCAGTAATCATGAACTAGAGGGGAGAATTTGGCGAGACAACATTCACTCATGGAACACGCTTTCAGGAATAGAGCTTTTGAAGACGGGAGTAGACCCAGTACCGACCAGCTACACACACACACACACACACACACACACACACACACACACACACACACACACACACACACACACACATGGTCACAAACCGGGCCGCGGGGTCGTTGACCCCTGAAACCCTCTCTAAGTATACACTCCAGGTATACACACATACGTGCACGCATACATGCACACAAACATGCATGCACATACACACGCACATACACATATACAATAATAAATACAGTATATATACACATACACACAGGGTATACAAATTCTAACCAGACAATAGAGCGAGAAAGTAATGTGAAGGACCTGGGAGTGATAATGTCAGAGGATCTCGCCTTCAAAGACCACAACAGTGTATCTACCGCATGTGCTAAGTAAATGATAGGATGGATAATGAAAACATTCAAAACTAGGGATGCCAAACCAATGATGATTCTCTTCAAATCGCTTGTTCTCTCTAGGCTGGAATACTGCTATACACTAACTGACCCCTTCATGGCAGCCGAAATTGCTGACCTGAAGAGTGTACATAGAACTTTCACGGCACACACAAGTACGATAAGGGACCTAAATTACAGGGAACGGTTGAAATCCCTTGCTTTGTATTCCCTGGCACGCAGGCGAAAGAGATGCATGATAATATACACTAGGAAATTTCTAGAGTGACTAGTTCCAAACTTGCACACGAAAATCACTTCATATGAAAGCAAAAGACTCGGCAGGAGATGCAACATTCCCCCAATGAAAAGCAGGGGCGCTACGAATACCCTGAGAGATATCACAATAAGTGTGCGGAGTCAAAGACTGTTCAACTGCCTCCCAGCATACATAAGAGAAATTACCAATAGACCCATGGCAGTCTTCAAGAAGGCACTGCACAGGCACCTAAAGTCAGTACCTGACCAACTGGGTTCTGATTCGTAAGCCAGTTTGAATGTGGTCAGCAGTAACAGCCTGGTTGATCAGACCCTGATCCACCACGAGGCCTGGTCTCAGACCGAGCCGCGGGGGCGTTGACTCTCGAAACCCTCTCCAGGTGTGTGTGTAATATTTATTATAGATACAGATATATGTCGATCGTGTAAGAAAATGTGTAAAGTGTACTAGGGACTCAACACACATGCATGAATAATTACCTATACAATACAAATTCATTCACACATTCTGTTTATGCTCCTTCAGCAACGCAGCAGAGTTCCATTGTACGAATGGAACTCCGAGATGTGGCACCACCGTAAGCTCACTATGTGGGTTCCAGTTTAAATCTCTCTGGTTTAGAGTGACTTTAATTTTGTTGAACGCATTTTCTTTGATAATATCTAATGCCGCCTCTGTTTGCATTGACATATTTTCTTGGCATGGATGATTAACTGATACTGATATATTGACACATTCAGACATTGCATAAAGGCGCTTTGAAGGGATGACACACGAAAGAAGTTTTGTGTTGACAAAATGCTGCCCGGCACCTGATATGCGGGGGTGGGGGGGGGGAATGAGGATGTCGGGGGGATGAGGCAGGTAACACAAGTCAGTGCAGGCTTAGACGGCATGGGAGACTACGTTCCGTGATGTAATTCACCTCATTATCTTAAGAAGTATGTAACAGAAAGTGCACAAATGATTCTTTTGAAGTTGTGCACGAAGACTTCTATCTTGTGTGTATATTAATCTTGGCACGAGTTGAAAGAATCTGGAGAACAGTTGTGTGTGGTGTTAACGGAGAGCCTCAACCTTGTGTGTTGAACCCCTAAGGCACACCACAGCAAGTCAATCGTCACAAATTTTTCATTGTGGTTAACTGAACAACTTAAATTACAAAGGTGAGAGGGAGAGATAGTACTAACATCTGTGTATGGTATTTACAATTTTTTTATTATAAATCATAAAAATGCATTACAACAAAAAATAAGAAACCTCTGAACCCGTTATGAATGTGTATATATAAATGTATATGTATAAATGTATGTATATATATGTATAAATGTATGTATATATGTGTATGTATAAATGTATGTACATTATGTATGTATATTTGAATGTATAGATGTATGTACAGTTTGTGTACGCGCGTGTATGCGTCTGAGCGCACCCAAACTTTTATATAAGTGGACGTTATCTATCACTACAGGTATCACCCTCTTAATGAAATTAAAGCAAACAAAAATATTCTTAAATAAACACGACAATGTCTGGATTATATCTGGAAGAAATAGTTTATAAGTTACCTCCTAAAATTCTTCCTATATACCTATTCACCAATCTATATATCTATTTCTCATCCTACCCCACCTACCACACTATCAAGAAGACTCATCCTCCGGGAACAATATAAGGAGGCCCCCGCCCACCCATCCACCCGGTGATCTCAACGCTGCCCCGACCAGGTACTGATCCAACCCTCCCACGCACCAAGACACACACACACCCTCTCCTCACGGGTTCAGTAAATAAGAAAAGCTTTTCGAATGTCTCTGTACACTTTTTATACTTCCAGCCAGCCCCTACGTACTCAACACACCTTCATTAAATACTTTCCTCATACTTACTCAAATGTACAGTAAACCTGATACACTCTGGCACGTATCATGAATCCTTAAAATGATCATAATTACTGATTGATAAGCTGTGGTTATGCGTAAATATACACATTTACACAAAGATGCAATGTTACACATAGGCACTTATCCAAAACGTATATTATCAAGCAATATATTGAACAGGGAAATATGCATCAACAATTGAACGTGAATATACATGTAAATAAGTGAATCGAATACAGAAAACATATTTACACAGGTAAACAAAAAAGTCATTCACACACAAATCATATCCAAGCACAATAGTAGACACGTCTAATGTTCCACTCCCAAAAAAAAAAAAAAAAAAAGATACATTTAAGCACATTCAAACACCCGACACGAATATTCAGGTATTCAAATGTAACTTTCACGCCAAGTGAAAATTATCAAGAGCGGTTTAGAACAAATTAATAAAATATCAACCTTTGTTTTTCCTGGAAAATGTCAGGCGTTGTCCACATGCCAAAGTAGATGCCAAGGGCAGCAAGGAAACCAGACTAGAAAGCAGAAATAATAATGCTGATTGAAATTAGTGGTAATCATTAGGCTGATAATGACAGAAAAATGCATGGCCTAAACTGTTGCAATATTACTGGGTCATCAATGCATATGGAATCGAGCTTTGTGACAGGGGAAATAAAATATCTCGCGAAACCTATAAATAGTATTTAAAGAAGGCAAAAGTAGTAGTAACATAAGTGCGCCCGTGCGTGTGCATGGGAGATCGATTAGAGTGCGCCCTCCCTCTACTACCCTTCTAAATCTATGATTCACTCGTGAAGGCTAGAGCAATCAAGTATGAAATACCAGGGTGTTCACTTACATCCTCTTCTCTTCCCCTTCTTTCCTCCCCTGCCTCCCCCTTGTCCCCGACCACCTCCTTCCTTATCCCATTCTTTCCTCCCATCATCCCTTTTCTCTCCCGCCCCCCCCCCCGTCCTCCTCATCCATTAAGGTCATTTGATCCAGTGACAGATTAACCCAAGCATTAGATCCTGAAGTGACTCCCTTTGTTTTTCTCTCGATATGCTTTTCTTCATTCCTCTTAAGCTTCTTTTTCTCCAATTTCCATTCCCTATCAATCTATTGGTTTCCTTTTCTCCCTGCCTATTAGATTTCTTAATTATTATTCAACTTCCTCTTCGTCTATTTCCTCTTTTAGCTTTACTTTCTCAGTTGATCAACTTCTTAAACAATTTACAGCTTTCCTCGTGGTAAGCTTTCTTGATCCTTGTCTTAAGCATCCTATCTCAAACCAGGCTGTCTAGATTAATCGAGGATCCTTTAAGCTATAGTCAACCTACTAGTTGATAATAATAATTGGCTAACCAGTTACATTTAATATTTGGAGGCAGAGAAATTCGTACTTTTCATTCCCAATAACGCAACAAGACTACGATTTACGGATTATGTCCATATTATTTTTGCCTAGGTGACTCAACATAAACATCAACATTTCGCCCCCCAGAAACTTTGTCCATCTAATACAGTGACACTTGAGCAATGTTTTTTCTAATAGTGAATCTAGTGGCAAGGCTCACTAGTGGAAATGGGTCTGGGAGAGAGATATTGCAATAATTGGAGAGACTTCCACTTTCCTACAAGGACACTAGTAGTCGATCTAGTAGTGGAACCAGTGGAAGAAGTAGAGCAATGCAGCATTAGCGAACGTGGTCATATGTGGGCGAGGCCCATTAGTGGAAGTAGATCTGACCGATAAGGTGGGCCAGAGTCTTGTCAATCGAGTTGCAAAATTTTTGTGTTCCCTCTCTAAAGATTTCACGGTGTTACTGTGTCTGATAAGTATATTTAGATCAAAGGTTTATAATACAGACGTGTTGAATAAGACACATATGCAACAGGTGTTGTACATGTAATCCGACACTTTGTCACGGAGGATGACGATACACTGGTCAGTTGGGATGTGGATGAACAGCAAAACATCCAACCTGACGAGTTTCTCTTCCATTATGAGAGTCCCTGATCCTGGATAGGACTAGATCACCGGAGGGGCAAAGGCGTTCCATAATCAGTCTTTTTATCAAGACATTTTCGTTCACTAAAGCCCTAACGATTTACGATAATTACCTGCTACAAAAACAGTCATACCGTCGCTAGTGGTTTTTGGTGTACTCGTGACAGAATCACATTCATAATAATAATATATCTTTATTTCTACAAGCACATATACAAGAAATACAGGTCTAGCTGACATCAATGACATACTACTATATAAAAAAGCTGATTGTTATACTCTCAGAGCATTTCGGGCAAATTAGATCAGTTTTGTCCCAGGATGCTACCCACACCAGTTGACTAATTCCCAGGTATCCATTTTACTGATGGGTGAACATAGACAACCGATGTAAAGGAACACGCCCAGTGCTTCTACCCTCGCAGAGAATCGAACCCAGACCCTCGCCGTGTGAAGCGAGAGCTTTAGCCACCAGGCCACGGGGCACCAAAATTCGTCTGACAATACAGCAAAAAATATATATAGTACTTTCGACAGCAGTTTCCTTGACTATCTTCAGCTTTAATTCTTTCTTGCAGACCAATTTTCATTCATTTTAGCTAGTATCATCATCCTTGTTCTGAGAATGATTCTTCTGTCTAAGAAGCTGTATCTCCTTCCTAGCTTCCTGCATCTGTCTTTACCTGAAGGAACAGACGTTTTGAAAAGGCATCATTAACACCTCAATAATACTAGTACTGAAAATCGGCAAAGCACGTTTTCAATGGACACTGGTCAACTCGCTACTGGACATTGGGCAGCTCACTACTGTTGATAATCCTGCGCTATTCATAGAAACAGCCACAACAACTTGATGGAATAGCGTGAAGCCAAATCAATAATCAAAGATGAGAATTTGTAGATTTGTCGTTGCCTGGAAGCTAAGGTAGTACAGTTTTGCAGAACACTGGAAGCTTCATTACCTCAAGAGTTTTAACTGTATTGATATTAGACAGTCTGGTTTACAATTTGAAGAACCACGCATAGAATTTACCTGATTCCCGAGTACTTTACATATTTTTTTTTTCTCTGTATTGGATTAAGAACGCCTCTAACTGGGAAAAACTTACAGGAATAACTGTCGTATTTCTTTGAAAACGGAATCTTCGGTCAGACGACTGGTTAAGAATTAGAAGTTTACAAATAAAAGATAAACATAAATAATAGGGGATATTACAGTTGATAATGTGAGAAATCACGAAAGCGCTTGAAAATTCGCTTTTTTCAGTGGTGGTTCTGCATAAATAATAGAGGATATAAACAAGATGCTAAAGATATGTAAAAACGACAGCCCGAGTTACTATTGACGGGAGTTATTGAATTAAAGCGTATGTCAACGTAATTATATAGCTTCCAGTCAAGTAACACTTACGCTGCGAAAATAAAATACCTATAGCGCCTATTTTCGTCTACCTACATGCGTCAACCATTGTTATGGTATAGCAATATTATTAGCTGACTCAATTTCACGTCTAAATATTAAAATATTCTGTACTTAAGTTAGCTATGGATGAACCATTCGAATTTAGAACTTTCCACGAATATACAGCTAACTTCACGGACAGAATAAAAAATATGAAGGAAATGAAGACCACATGGTCATTGTGCTGGTCAGAATGTCATTGAACTAAAAACTAAGAAATAATGATTGTACGAAGGGCGAGCGAAAACTGTTGTATACGAGGGAAAGCAGACATGGAAGGCTCCTTGATCCCGGTGAAGGGTTCTTGATTAAGGGAATTAGAGCAATTGTCTAGCCTCGCTTCATTTCGTTATATGGCCGTGGCTATTCCTTTGTATAATGTAGGCATTGTTGATATTAGTACAAGCGTATTTGTGTTCATTATCACGAGGGACTAAATCACTGCTATCTGTCCCGCGAAGTTTATCGTAATCTTCACGTGGTATTATGTATAGTCCATTTTTGATACCGAGAAGGTTTTCGGTTTCCTGTTAGCAAGATTCCTGATTCTGGTACTGTTGGTGGCAGTACCCCCACTCAGGAGACATTTATCGTTCAATATCTCTCTCTCTCTCTCTCTCTCTCTCTCTCTCTCTCTCTCTCTCTCTCCTCTCTCTCTCTCTCTCTTTCTCTTTCTCTTTCTCTTTCTCTTTCTCTTTCTCTTTCTCTCGCTCGCGCTCGCACACACCAGAGATCGAAACCGCTGTTCCAAATTATTGGGTTAGGCCTATCGGCTACACGGAATTAAAGGGAAGTAATTGGGAG